GGGCTCACAAGCCTGCTAACTTCATTCAACCATCGGGTCTTAATAGCCTTTTAAGCTTACACAGTCCTTTTTCCGCACAGGCACACCCAACTATTCTTTTTAATCTACTCAGTGTTGAGTCGGTGTCTCAGGTTTGCGTCTCCGCTTATGCTGATTCCGCAATGAGGCCATCAAATGGCTGGCCGCGACACTTCAAGAGATTACTACGCCAGTCATATACTCTATTTGCCCAACCCGATTGCCGGAGTTTTCCCTCCCTTACCCGCTACACCGGTTGCTCTAATTCTTCTGCGTAGTTTACGTTTTGTATATGTAAAATTAGTCATATATCAGGTACTACATTAACTGTTCTATACACATACCATTACTTACACATCTGATGTACCTATTCTTGCATGGTCAGGATACTGACCCCTACCAAGGTTATACTGTTATTATTTCTTTGTTCACAAGATTTACCTTAGCCTGTGGTCGGAATTCTCAGATACCTAAGTCCCGTACTTTATATTCCAGTCTACTTTGACCGACAGTTTATCTGCTCTTTGTAACAATTGTTTATTCCTTTGCTGCATCATGTTTATCAGGATTGCACAATGCATACTATGAAAGACACTGCCAATGGTCCTAAGAAAAGCCAGCGTTTGATTTGACTTGAGAGCTTAACATATTTTGAAATGCCTTATATTTGCTTCTCACGATTTTACTTTAATCTATTCTTAGCTAAATCAGCTAGCTCTTTCGTAATTTCTTTTATCCGAACGTAATTGACCACCTATACTGAAAGAAGATGCTTTATTTATGAATTATTTATTTACATCACCTATAATTGAGCTTGTTACTAAGTTTTATATTTAGCCGGCATCTTATATTATTCTCATTTCCTCTTACTTATGCTGACAAGCATCAGAGCCTTATCATCTTAAGTAACTAATCAAAGACCATAAATGATAAAACATCTTTGAACTTGGAATTTGGATCTAGCAAGTACTTCTGTCACTCTCCTTTGACTCAAAACAACGTAAACTGAGAAACTGGCTACCTGGTTTATCTGAAAGTTTCTTTATCTTTCAGTTGAGGTCCTCTTCGCGGGCTTAATGAGCTTGCTTCTTTTGATTCTCTTTTTTCCCTCCCATTAACTGCATCTTAATGTGATACTCAAGCATATTCGTTTCCGGAACTGGAATCTCAAGATGATTTGGAGCCGGAGGTGATGCAAGCTAAGCATGAGGATGGGTGAAAGTGCATGCTGAAATCAACCGCTCGCAGGCTATGTGGCCTGCTAAGGCATTTTCTTATTTTTTTCAGGCAGATATTGTGCTACTTCCTTGATTTCGATGACACTCTGATCATGCATTTACCCTAGATTCTTAAATTAACCTTTTGTAAAAAAAATTTGTTAATACTTTCATTTTTGATCTTTAAGGCTATCATAATCGTAGTAACCGTGGCTTTTGTGCAGAACTACAGATCAGAAAAGGCTCTGGAGGCGCTAAAAATGCTAATGCCTCCACGGTGTTGCTGGTGAGTTGTCTTTTGTTTACTTTTTTTCTTCTTCTTTCACGGCATCTAAATAATGGTCGAGTTGAAACCAAAAGTCAGGCTTCATATTTCACTTCGTTTGAAGAGGCGAGTAGAAGAGATTCATAAGTTGGCCCTACCGAAAGATGTAGGGGATGTCTTGGAGCAGCGACTATAGATTTGTGCTAATAGGTCCTCGGTGCATCGCTCTTCAGGCCCGATTAATCCTTATTAGAGTAGGGTTTCGAGACATCTCATTACACCGATTAATCCTTGCCGACCTTCCGTCCGTCACGTGACGGACATCTTTAGAATAGAATACCATACTTAGCGAT